TTATTAATGTTTGTCGTTGGTTGTTGTCCGTCGTATTATCAATGTTTGTCGTTGGTTGTTGTTTGTCGTATTATAGTTTCGTTTATTGTTTTGTCATAAATCAGGCCGTTGGTTTTTCGTTTCAATAATTTATTAATTTGCCATGACGGGGCCTTTTATAGCTGACCATACTTTATTGTTTTAACTCATTATTGACGGCCTTACGGCGACCTATAGTAACTAACATCCACGTCATTCGGACTCTGGTGGATAATTGTCTCATTGACAATGATACCATATCTCCTTATTTATAACGAAATGAGAAATAAGTTCGTGTTGATCCTACCTCAATTTATGGGATGTATAAACCACATCATCATGAAAATTATAAGATGTGATATCCAGTTTGTAATCAGGTTTCTACAGGTATAGCTAAACTGACAGACCAATCTGTGTATCTATGAAAGAATTTATTAAAGGATTAAAGTTATGTGTGGTAAGAAATTCCCTGAATTCATTTTCTACCAGTTATACATATGGCATACATATATTACGTTCATTAAAATCTATAATCTCACTACACACACGGCCATAGCAAACGAGTCGGGAAGTGAACACACCGTAAGAAGGGACAAAAGGATCACCACCGTCAAATATGGAGAAAATTTGGACAGTACAACAGACCACAACAACACAAAACACCAGAATCCACCCAACATCCTTGACGTAAAAATATAAAACAAACAACAACGAACAACATAGTCCATTTACCTGACTCGGTACATGCACAAAATATGGTGTAATCACAAATTATGTTATCTTTTATCTACGTTTATTGAAATCTAAACCATCACTATAAACATGAGTATAGCAAACGAGTCATGAAGTATACATATTGTAAGAAGGGCAAAACGGATCATCACCGTCAAAAAAGGAGAAAATATTGGACAGCACAATAGACCGCATCAATACAATAGACCGCATCAACACAAAACAACAATTCTAAACACTTAAATCCGAGATCCCTCAACAAAATTTTCCGACTTTTAGGAAAATATAATATGCACATTTTTACATAAGGTATTCATGGTCGAATAATACTGAATATGGTCTTTCAAATGCTATTCGAAGCATATATACTGTAACATACGCAACTAGTTATATTATGATGCTTGGAGCGTTTCAGATGTAATTGTCTCTATTAGTCGAATCATTTTATAATCAAAGAAAACAGCGATTCGTGGGAAAAGGTGTAAAACTTAATAGACGATAAGCAGAAATCCCAACCTTTAATACCTATTGGTGTTTACACCTAATTCAACCTTTTAACAACGTCGTAATGTCTAGGAATTATCAGATGTATGTACACCGAAATTGATAGGTCTGGTTAAAGGTAAATACATAGCTGATGAAAACTTAGGAAAGCTCAATTATCGAGACTTTGAGAGTTACCTGGCGAGAGACAAATCCTTTCTTTAGTTTATCACTCGCTGACAAGTGGTCGAACTTCACTAGCGAATATTTGAAAAAAAGACCGTCTTCTTTTCACAATATTTTGTTACCTTTCACCGCTTTTTACAGAGAGTTACTGTGGAATTATTATATGTTTTTTTAGAAGGTAGGGGTATGGATATTTTCGTTGGTTGTTGTCTTAATAACACATTCCCTACATCTCCCATTTAGTATTTGCTGCTTCTTCGCTTAGCATGAACATTTAGGAGTAAGACCAAAGACTGGTCGCTAGGATTCATACTAATACGCTTGGATAGGGTGACATGTATTCATGTTGACTAATACCTTTGTGCACTAGCACGTTAAATCCTGTTCAGCGTCAGATCAACATGTTGTTGTCCTGATATGCACGTAATATTTCCCACTTGATGTTAAACACCAATACATCAATCCTTTGCATATCTCCTTTCACAAGACAAATATGAGCAATAAAAAAACATTTCTCCTTCGGAATATCAAACATTTCTCTTTCGAATAGCTGTCTCATGAATATCAACCACTTCTGCTTCACTATATTCAAATCTCTTACCACTACCACTACCCAAAAATAATCTCATCAAAGATACCAGGCTTATAATTTTGTACGCCAAACGTGCGTTTCGTCTACAAATGACTCATCATTGACTCTCAAATCAAAAAGTTAAAAGGTCAAATAAAGTACAAAGTTGAAGAGCATTATTGAGGATGAAAAAATCCGAAAGGGTTTTCCAAATACAGCTAAGGTAATCTATGACGTAAATTATGTAAAGGAAACTCTCCTTGACCTTAAATTATTTTTCATTATTGATTATGAAATTGACAGAACATCAATGACAGGAAATATTAAGTGACTTAAAATGCAATTTTTGTCAATATTACAGACAGAAATTTGTTCATAAATCGTTGATTTAGCAGTTAACTGCCAAAGCTAAACATTACTTTTGATTTGAAGTTTGGCATATCGTTTCTCCTTTGAGGCTAATGAACGTAAGAAATAACCCGAAATAACTGTTTTCTTCATAACCAATAATACAATTAAGGTTTTGGTGTAATGGACTGTAATGATTCATGACGTTTCATTTGTGTGTAGATGAATTTTTGAGGTGCATGTCAGATATACTGCTCTAGGTTAATTAGATGATCACACGATACATATCAAAGATAAGAAAAGCTTTATTCTTTAAAAGAGATACTATAAATCATCCTCCCGTTCTTACTTTTCTATAGAAAGGATATTTGTCTTTCTTAGACTAAGAATACAATTAATGTTCTAGCGAATAAACTCATCATAGATACCAAGATTAAAATTTCGTCTACAAAAGCCTCATCAGCGACGCTCGAATCAAAAAAGTTAAAAAGGCCAAATAGAATACGAAGTTAAAGAGCAAGCACGAGTCAACCATTGTTATGTTTGAGTTCGATCTTTAGCTTTCTGAATTTTACCATAGGAATATAATTGTGAATGTCAAAGTTGTTTAAGAAAGTTGTTCCAGCATGTCTGAGTTTGAAAATAAATATGCAAAAATACTTTATAAATCAGTAAATTTTGAAATCGCATTTTGAATCATTAATTCCTTTATAAATACTAAATCGGTAGATTTTTTATTCGTCATGAATCTATAAGTACTTAGTATACGTAATGCTAATAGAGAAATGTTTGATATAAATCCCTTATCATTATCTAAATGCACTACAAATTTCTTGATTCACACTAGGTAGTCTTTGATGACATAACACAGAAAGATATAGTTTGATATGATTTAATTTCAACTGGGCGATCCAAATGAACTGAGAAATTACTGTTTTGTGGTTTCTTATCTTAATGCAATATAACAGTTTCATAACGATTCGGTGTTGTGTAAATGTTTTAGATTCGTGCCGAAAACAGTTGTTTATGAAGACACCAAATAAATTGTGGTTTATTTAGTTTTCAATGATTATTTATATATATGTTTCGGTTCTGATTAAGAAAAGACCATTACAAGTAACACATCTTACTCTACTTGTCTTGCTGTTTTCCGACGATTTACATATTTTAAAATAGTTTGAAGATGTTGGATATAAGCTCTAATTTATAGTTCGTACTTGAAAATGCATATTATTAAAATATTGAAAGAAAAAATGATAGTATTAAACTTGCTGGTTTTTTTACTACAAAATTAGAAAATAAAGGATATGGTGTTATTTCATGACACAAAGTCCCGACGCGCAAATGAATAGTCTATGCAAAAGAACAGCGCTAGAGTTTTTGACTTTTAACATAAAGCTTAAGCTCACACCTCAGTGCAAGTTCATCACCGCCCTAACATAGAAATGAACGGATTATTTTTGCTGTCGATAATGTACATCAACAGAAAGTATTCTTTCTGGTATTTATACTCAATATCTGCTGTTATTCATAGTCCAAGAAGACCAAGAACTTTATCTCAGATATCCAAAGTAGTTGGTTCACTAACTCATAATTTTGGCCCTTAAAACCTGACATTTTTAAATTGCGATGATTTTGTGAAAATTATATGAAAACATATATAAAAATGTCATATTTTTTCAGTTATAAAAGTTTTCACCAATTGCGTCATTATTGATGTATTTGTGACGTCATAAATTTAGGTGAATTTGTGAACGCCTGATTTTTGGCAGACGTTGGTGAAATTTATGTCAGTTTGATGAAAAATTTACAGTGGCGCCACCCCTCGTCCACAAATATTTTTGCTGAATGATTTTAAACATACCATATTCTTTACTCTTCAACAATAATTTCAATGGGCGAGGGTTGGCGCCACATATGAAATCATGAAATTATAAAGTACAAAAAGATGTCGAATTTCTAGAAAAATGGACTAAAATGAAATCTATACATAGTTCAGGCTAATATATTCATAATATATAAAGCTGGTATATCTTTTTTCTTATTATACTTTCAAAAATAATGCATTTATCAATACATACACAGTAAATTTACTCGAACATTAGGCTTTTTTCATATTACCGACTTTTGACTGCGGAGTATATAATTTTTCGACAAGTTACCTACTCCGCGGTAGGACATCCTGGTACTCGGCCAAGTAAGAGCAACCAAAAGAAGTAAAATCAAACATATAACCGGTGCAATTTGGGGGGAAAGTTTACTGTTTTCCGATGATTTTGTCGTGAATTAAAAACATGAACCAGTTAATTTCTCTCCAAAATTGTACCGATTGTAAGCTTAATTTTACCTCTTTCGTTAGCTCTCCCTTGACCGAGTACCAGGATGTCGAACCACAGAGTGTGTAAGCTGTTGAAAATTAAAAACTCCGGAGTCAAAAGTCGGTAATATGAAAATAGTCTATTGAAGTTTTTAAAATCCACCTTTATAGGGCCGTTTATTAGGGTTACAGACTCTACTCCTTTTGAAACTAGACGTTTATTTAAAAAAATAAGAATGCGAATCAGTTAATTTGTTGTTGTTGTCATTATTGGTATGTGTCACAAGTCTCTTGTTTACTTATATGACAATAAAGAATTTCATAATTATCATATTACTTTTATAGGTTGTGAAGATGTTGGTTATAGTTGTAGCTATTTTTGGACTTTGTTGGCTGCCTCTTCACGGATTGAATATGGCCAGAGATACCAACCCAGAAATAATGAAATTCCAGTCTCAGAAAGAATATTATGTGTTTCTAGGATTATATTTAACAGCCCATTGGCTAGCTATGAGTAATAGTTTTGCCAACCCAATTATATATGGATTTACGAACGAAAGTTTTCGGGTAAGTACTAACATATAAGTGCACATTGATCTTAACGGTGGATTTCTGTATGTGTTTTCCGTTTTTACTCCTTTTTATTTTAGGTTTAGTAATCGTAATTTTTTAACTTGTTGAAGTTCATTTTAGTCCAGCTTATTCGTGCATATTTTTAGAAGAATTGTGGGTTTGATGATAAAAGCATGAAACTTTGCACAATTGTATATATATATATATATAATTGGTAGTCAATTTAAGCTATGGACCAACTCTGAAAAATCCAATATGGCGGCCATTTTCAAGGTGTCTGCCAATCAGTCTAAATTTTACAACCAAGTATATATTAAAGCAAATAATAGTCAAACCAAAAATTTGAAAAACATATAAAATGTAATACAACATTTTAGTAAATCGTGACGTTATATTAGACTTTTTTTTCAAAATGGCCGCCAAAAAGTGAAAGGCTATACTGATATTTATTTTTTCTTTCGAATTGCACTTTGTAGATCATACAATATTCTAGGGATTGCGTTTCCATGATATATGGATGCTGCTTGAAGGACAATTTAATCAAAGATCCTATAGATGGAAAGATTCGAACAACTTTCGGGACGCCATCAGAATTTGTTTGACCAGTAGGTACCATCTGAGTCACAAATGATAATGGATAAAAGGCTGATATATTCCCCCGCCTAAAGCTTTCACATGATTTGAGAATGTTGTGTTTTTGCTTTTAACCCGTTCCTGGTGTAGAACATCATATGGATTACCTGATCACGTTTTATTATTTCAAAAGTGGATTGAAACTTGTGGGTCCATAGCTAATATTGTTTGAAACACCAAGAATTACTACCATGCCAAATTTGGTGCTTTTATCATCAAACCCACAATTTTGTCACCGATCCGCTGGACTATTTTGAAAAAAAATCTCGAATGACCTTTATTAAACAACAACAATTTAAGAAAAAAACAATCAAGACATTACACAACATATGTTATGTGTGTCGATCTAACAAAGATAACGGGAAACGTTATGGCTGTTCAGATTGCCGAAGTGTAGATGTACAACTCTCTGAAAAACATTTTTGAAGAACATTGAAAAACTAAATGGATTTATCTTCGAACGAATAAACAGACATATAAGGTATAAAACAATAAAACAGCAACCCGATAACACAATAAAATCACAAATCTAATTAAATAATTTTTGCTGCACTCCCTGCACTCGTCATATTGAATTACATCAGATTCGAGCAAGTCTCGTACATATAAAACAAACACGTCTATTTTTATATAAACGATTAAGTCCAGTGTGGACGACAAGCGTTTCTGGATATCCATAAATCTGGGACACTCACTCGAGACCAAAAGTTTGAAACCCAACTACATGAATGGCGTTAAGATTTCTCCAGTACTACTGCACAGATCGCCTTCATGTTTGGTCTGTAACTTTATCAAACTATAAAATGGTTAAACAATATTAATCTTTAAAGAAAATATACCAGATACAATGATTTAACAATGCAAGCATAATCTAATACGTTTAATAAAATTAACTTTATGAAGAAAAAATTACGTTAATATCTATACACGATTGACGTTTATATAAGAATATTAAAATCAAAGCTTGTGGCCCATCAAACAGCATAACTGCTGACATGTGAATAAAAAAATTTCAACTTTGAAAATCATCGAGACTGACGCAAAACTACTGAAACAAATCGTGCCTACTGGGAAACATAAATAATGATGTTTTGTACAGAAATAATACTACATCGAAGCTCTTCTCTTTTAATGAGTACTTTACTTTGTATAAAGTGCAGATTTGGATAATTATTCAAATGATATATTATGGGATGACGTAACTTACCGTGCCTTAAGTGTCCTGCTCATAGCAAATTAAAAAAAATAACGATATGCATGATCTGATCAAGTATAAGTCTGTATTTTTTTATTTAATAACTACATGAAGTTGCCAAATTTCAATTAAAATTTAAAAACAAAACGATGCCGATTGGGTAATCGAAAATCTTTAGTCGAAAGACCGACAACACCATTTCTAATAGAAAAACAATATCATACAAGACTACAATTAAAAGATTGAGTAACATTGAGATTGATCGATTGGTGTTTAATGCCACTTTCAGCACTATTGCGCTATTTCGTGACGGTCAGTTTTTATTGGTGGTGGAAGCCGGAATGCCCGGAGAAAACTAACGACCTTCGGTAGAAAAACTGACAATCCCTTAACATTGGAGTCGAACGCACCTACCACGTGCCCGCCCCCCCCCCTTTCGTGGGAAAATTTGGTTGATTGTATAGGGAATCACTGAAGCATGACTGGAGCGCCCCCCCCCCCCTTTTATGAAAAGTTCTGGATCCGCCACTGGGCTGTTATTTTTACCATTCGGAGAAATTGGTTCAATAGCTTTCTAGTAATCAGTAACCATCTGTGACTTCCTTTATATAGTAACGTTGTACCATCAAGAAAATCTTGAATGGAAACAAACGCTTCGGAATAGTGTTATATACAGTTGCTACTTTAATGTTGCCACGTATAAATTGAAGATCTTTTCGTCGTTTTTCCAATGAATTTGTGGGCTCTCTTTGTCTTATGATTTTTATTCTCCCATTGTTATCTTCTCTTTTCATAGCTGGAAAAGTGATGTCATGTCTTTTGTTTTATCACTCAGTGGTCAACCTGTCCTTTCTGTAGAGTTCTAGAAGTAGGTCAACGTATGACCTTGAAACTTCTTTGATATCGTCATTTCTAATAGATATAGGAAGATGTGGTATGAGTACCAATGAGACAACTCTCCATCCAAGTTACAATTTATAAAAGTAAACCATTATAGGTCAAGGTACGGCCTTCAAAATGGAGCATTGGCTCACACCAAACAGCAAGCTATAAAGGGCCCCAAAAAAATACTAGTGTAAAACCATTCAATCGGAAAAACCAACGGTCTAATCTATATGAAAACGAGAAACGAAAAACACGTATGAACTACATAAACAGACGACAACTACTGTAATCAGATTCCTGACTTAGGACAGGTGCAAACATTTGCAGCGGGATTAAACGTTTTAATGGTACCAAACTTTCTCCCTTTTCTGAAACAATAGTATAACATCACAACATAGAAAAACACACTATAAAATATCAATTGGAAGGCTTAACTCAATCAAAAAACGTAAATTAACACACAATGAACGAATAAATTTTACCTGTGACACCTGAATGCAAATACACAGTTAATAAAAAAATTACAAGGGATAAATAATTAAAGTCAAAGTTTATAAATTGGAAAGATGCTCTCAAACGTTGTATTATTCAGTGACAGCGAATCATCTTTATATTGACACACGAATTTAAAGGCATAATTCATAGACAATGACATTAACACATTCTGTGTATCCGAAGCGCTTTTCTGGATAAACTTTCATTAGGAACTCTAAAACCTTTACGTTGGAAAGCCGTAGATGTGTAAATACGTAGTAAAGTTAAGAGCTATATGACCACGTTTGGGATTTTTTTATTGATGAACAAGTGAGAAGGCAAACTTAATCCGTCAAAATACAACTATAACTATAGTAGTTTCTAAAATGGGTCATTTAAGGGACAACGTTTTGTTATAGTTGGTCCCAAACATATCTTTGAATTTCAATATCAAATGCAAATAAACGAATCCTTATCAAAACATGACCCCCCTCCCCCCAAAAAAAAATAAACAGGAAAATGTAACAATATGTAAAAGCATATTGTAGTTAGAGCATCACGATATGAGGTGTGTGTGGTTACCATATCCTTGATGTTTTTGTTAATGATTGGGATAATTTCAAGGTATAGCAAGACACATCTGCATTCAGTATAACTGATAAATCCATAGGGATCCCTTCCTGTCACAGAAATACACATTGATTTATTAGTGATACTAATATATCCTTGTGATAATTTCCAAATATAGCTTTTGAAGTACTATTTAGAATTAATGATCAGATCATCGTCTACAACGAGATTATAGTTCTGCAAATTAATACGCTCCGTGTAGATGGGTAAAAATTAAGAATCAATAACTTTGAAATCCCGTGTGTCAAGATATTTTATTAATCAAATTATAAGTATTTACAAGCCTAATAACATTAATTATGTCACTGTAGAAACATGTCAAATATAAACAATTCATGTAATTTGAATCTGTTATTTCCATTCTTTTGTTTCAATGTCCTATATATCGACAAATTGACAAATAATTCATTTAAATCGGAAGACTTTTTACAACATGCTTCGATAATTGAATTCGAATTTCGTTGTTATTTGGATGTAAATTATCATGGGACTTTTTTATTTACATAAATGTTGATTATGTCTGCTTAAGTCAATAACCGTCCTGTGCAAAAGTTTCCGACAAGATGTAGTAACTAAATGAAAAAGTCAGACGAGACATTATCAAACCCATTACAGACACTTTTGAGACTCTAATTGCGGTTGACGATAGCAGTCAGATCTGTTCAAAACAGCACACTATACAACAATATCAATGATAACGAAAAGCAGGAAGTATCAGTTCAGATTCGAAAATAAATATCTGCAGTCTGAATTTCGAGATTGGAAATTCGAACTTTAATACCTTTATTCTCTTTATAATTCGAAAATCGAATTAAGAAATTGAACATCTGAATACACCCTTCGAGATTCGAAATTCAATATCGTTATTAACAATTCAAAGGTACACCTTTAACTTTTAACTTAGTCATATGAAACGAATTTAAAAAAAAAAATGATGTTCAGAAAATTATTGAACCAATGCATGCATAAATACTAAACTAAGTCCTATATGCACGTTTTTTTTAAACATTTTTTACGAATCTATAACGTATAATCGACACATACTGTTTCATTCGGTGATTGTTGATCGCAAGCTCATTAACTTTCGAGTTTGTTGCCGAAGTTTACCGCATGGTGACATTGATAAACAATCAACACAGAAGCACGTGGAGCATGTAAAAAATAGGTGAATTGAAAG